ATCTAACACAAGGGAATTCTGTTTCCTCGATTTCTTTTATCGTTATCATTCGATTTCTAGTGATACACCATGTCGATCGGCGTACGTTGAAAACTTTCATACATAAAAGCTCCAATCGCACGAACAGAGAAAGAGATGCTTTAAACGATGAATAATAAAAGTTTTTAGATCTCTCTGTCGCGACTGCGGATTTGTTTTTTCTTTGTGCATTACACTCCTTTTGGAAAATAAAATTCACTTTGAAATTTATTTATTTGTACAATGCGAGAAGAACATTTAGATGAGAATGTTTCGAATGACTACGAAATAATAGAAAATAAATAAATAAAAATGCAAAGATAATTCCAATTGAATTGTTGACATTAACAATTAGCCCTCATCCTTTCTTTGCGTCAATTTGACACATTCTTCTTATTTGCAATACACAAATACAGATACGAAAATGAAACTTTGTGATTTCTATTTCTCTAATATGCTGTCAATATAAAATATACTGTCAGAGTTGAAAATAATTCACAGTATTATAAAGTACATTGTTTTATTACTATTATACTACTTTTGAAGTAGATATCTTTAGTTCCATCAAAAGAAAAATAAAGAATTACACAAAAATAAAGAATTACATATGTTAGACATTGGATTCATATAATAATACTATACGTTAGAATAAAATTTGTGTGGATCTTGTCCGCGATTGAATAGAAATCTAGTTCATTTATTGTTAATAAAAAAACTAGTTACAAATACAAACTAGTTATGTTTTCGTTATACTAACTTTTTTATCATTATTATCAATTTGTCATCAAGGGACAACTTTAATTGAAAAAATGAAAAACGGATGAGAGTTAACAAGCTTGACAACAGAATAAACATATAATAAAAAATACTTTCACATTTGTTATGATTTATTCTAGAAATTCTGTCTTGAATTTATTAAAACATTATTAATCGTGATATTTTGAAGTTGAACAACAACTTGTTGAACTATATAATTAGCTGTAACAATTACACGTATACGGAAGTGACAGGAAATTAATTGACGTCCCTGTTTCATGAATCCTTGCGGAGTGAAGTTGTTGCATACTGAAACCTGTGACTTGGTCTAATCCATAATTCTACGAGCTTTACGTGATCGTTATACACACGCCGTGAAAATATCTCTTTTTAGCGATCACTTTCCAACATAGAGAACTATTCTATATTCGAATCTTGAATATAAAATCATGGATAAAGTTAATGCAATGCTACTTAATAAAATTATGCAGACGAAATAGCGAAACTTACAATGTAAATTTCAACGTCTGTAGGTTTTTTTTAAATTTAATCAAATTTCTAATTTGATATAAAATTCAAATCCCTAAGTACATTCAGTGCATTGTAAAACAGTTTCATGATCGTCACTAGACAGCGGATTTTTATGTGAATTCATATTTCTGAGAACATGATTAAAAAATAGAATTTGGATATAAAATTGTTTCACGTTTTAAATGCCATAAAAAGAATATTTTAGATATTTTACATACTTTCTCATATATGTACATTCTTTTACATTAAAATTTCCTAAATGTATAAAAATCAGCAAATCCAAGTCATTACAGTTAAAAATCTTTATAAGAACTTTATTAAAATTTGACAATCATTCACGGTTCATTTTGACATATAATCTATCTTTTTATAACAAAACAGTTGACAGATTATATCGATCGATCATGTTAAACTCGATAAGCTTGGAACTTCAATGTTTGATAAATATTATTTAACAGAAATCACGAAGTTTTGATTAATTGTAGACATTTGTCAAATTCATATGCAATAAATCTCAATGTTTGTAAAAGCGATATTCTTATTAAGATACCGAGATTACTCAAAATCCAAAATCAGGTTTCAAAAGTACTCTTCAGAGAATTTACATTTTATTCCGACGAATGAAACTCACTGTACGTTAGAGAGAAAGAAACAAAAGATTTGCGAATAGTAAAAAATTGCTAGCAAATTATCTTTGCTAAAATATTGTTATGCAAGAGATATGATGCAATTTTGTAAAGAGCGTTTAATAAAGTTCAGTCGGTTATACATAGTTCGTTGTTATACAGACTTCAACGCGATTTTTTGCCGAGGGGAATAAAATTTTTTAGAGATAGAATTAAATCTCTCATAACGAAAAGTTATTACATTTCATAGCTACTTTTTTGGAAGAAATCTATTTACTTTTTTACGATCCCTGTTCCAACAATTGTAAAAGATTATGAAAGAAAAATGAATGCACGAATCCGAGACACCGATGTGTTTTCATCGAAAGCAGATTCTATCAAAACGTCAATCACCGATCACGTAGTGGTATTTTACAGGCAGACACACCACTGTGGATTCCGATGTAACTTTCGCGATCGGTCCAGCAATAATGTTATTGGAAACGAATAAAAGACTATTTTTCAAAGCTCTCTCTTTTCACAGACGATCAACTCTATGACACAAAGACGCATAAGCCAGAACAAAGAAACGATTTTTCGATTAAAAAAAAAATACATCATTAAATTGTGTTTACGCAATTTCATATTTTTGTTAGTAAACAGTGGCTTTCTTTGTACTCGATGAATTTTCTGTAACTGCTGCAAGATTGTAAGAAAAGTACAGATTGTAGTAGAATTAAGCTCACTTTAAAACGTGAGATACAAAAAAATTTTAAATTCCGAGATTCAAAAAATGTTTTATACATAATTTTATATGAAATAAAGACACTTTATCTTTCGAAAATTGCGTTTTAATATTTTTATGGACACACGAAAATTAAATCCACCACGATCTTGAAGATTCAGGCCTCCCCTTTGCAGCGATCTCTTAAAATTTCCTTACGATATTTTTTTGCTTGCGATATTGCAGATATTTTAGATTATAAGAATCTAAAATATCTGCAATTTTAATTTGAATGTACAGAAATTTTCCGAAGTCACTTATACAAGTCAAAATAAACAGAATCTAGGAATAGATTTGCTATTAGATACACCTACATTTCACATTGTATATGAAATGTCTGACACCGCGAACATGTAAAATCATTCGGAATTTACTGACTAATGCACAACATTTGTTAAATGTTGATTTAAAGTTTGATGCTAACCAAACGTAACACGATCGGTGTTGTGTCAATTGTTTTGTTAACAAAAGGTAGATTGTGTATCAAAGCGAGTCACGAGCCAACATCGAATTTCAATACATTTTTATGAAGCTTTAAACTTCGATACAACGCAGGAAATGATTACCTGTCACTGACGTAAAAAAATATTTAGATTGGGAAATATAAATATCGAAAACGATGGTCAACTAGATATTTCTATAGTAACTGCAAACTTATTTCACAATGACGTCAAAATGTGTATTTAATTTTTTACATAACAATTTAATTTAATATTCTTCAAGGAAGGAATAAATTGTATTTCAAACATCTCCAAAGATTTAAATATTTACTGAGAAAAAGATAAAGAAACATTAATACGACAGAATCAAACATTTCATTTATTATACTCTAACTAACCTGTTTTTATATTACTAAATCTCTTTTTATAGACTTTTATTTTATCGTTGAAGAAATGAGATTGAATCTGTTTTATTGTTCAATTTCATGGGGGAAACATATCTTTGCTAAGAGAGATTCTAATGAAATATTGCTGGTAATGGAGCCTACAAGTAGATTTTCGCAAAATTGCTTAGGCCACGTGCAAGATTTAGTACTGTGCTTTTCCATCGACAAGAGCACAACAAGAGTACGAAAAAGGAATAAGCGACAGGATGGTATAAATTGCTTGTACTTCCGGGCCAAATCGGGTTATAAAGGGGCAACAGATTCGTTTTCGCGGTGCTGCACTTCGTTATGATAGAATCTGCATCCCAATATAGGTCGATAAATAGAAGGGATACTTTAGACCAAGCGTAGATAAGACTGAATTTCAATCATGATTAGAATTGATTGAATTTCTTGGAAGTATTACAAGAATAATGCTTCTTAATCGAGTTGCAAATTCAACAAAATCATCTTCGTTTCATTATACAAACTATATGAATGATATTATAAATCGGAAGCAGATTTTCTTATGCACATTCGTATTTTTCGAATTAGAATTGAATAGAAAATGACAAGTTTAGAATTTAAAAAATTATTCAATTTGTAGAGTATATAATTTATGGAAAATAAATATAATGATTTATACGCAAAATGATTTTACGTATCAAATTATCATATTATTGAAAGCAGTATAGTTGAAATATTTTGTTCATATCACATGCATTGTCTGCAAAATTTCCTGTAAATGCATAAAAATCTGCAGTTTAATTATAAATATGTCATTCATATTGTTCGAACGTTGTTAGGTTATAGCTTAATTTAGTTAAAGATTAAATTTGATGAGATCAATAACTATATGTATGTAGTCATTGCGTGAAAATAGATCGATGATACGCGAAATTTTTTTCACACGACGCTTCATTTTCCAGAAAATGGAATTTGAAAATTTATACATTTGAATTCGACTAATACCGGAATGAACGGAAGTGGAATGTCCGCGCGAGTTTACTCTGCGTGCGAAAACAAGCAGAAAATATCAAATGAATTTTTTTGTTCGATGTCAGGTTTCTAATTTGAATTCGAAGTGATGTTCGAAAATTGTACCACGCTAATTCTTAACTAACGTATACGAGCTATTTTTTTTTTTTTAGAAAATGGAGTGTCTAAGTGGATAAATCTTATTTTTTCATTTATCTTCGCAAGTAGAATAACCTCTCCTTAATTGCTTGCTCGTGTTCAGCTTGGAATTAGCCAAATCTCCGTACATTAAATAAATGTTCTATATTTCCTCGAAAACGAAACGTTGTATGAAACAATTTCTAAGTTTCGTTTCCTTCGAAATATTTGCCTATAGAAAAATTCAAATAATTAATTCAAAGTACGAGAAGAACGACTACGAGTTTTCTTAATCTGAAATATATCTGACGGACATTTTACTTACATGTTTTTCTTTCTTTGGAATTTTTACTCCCGAACTTTGCTCGAATTCTCCCTTGTCACGGCACAATTTCTCGTTCACACTAACGTGAACTTTCGTCGATCATTTCCACCGTTATCGGATTCGAACGTCACTCGCGGTTTTCACAGTAGCGAGGAATCGCCGCGAGATTCTTCATCGAACTATCGATCGATGATCGATAGCGAAGCGATAATTACGTCTCGCAGCCAACATCAGACGGTTAGTGTTCGGGAGTGCGAGACGACACGGCGCCAGACACGTCGTCTTAGATTTCGAATTACGGCAGAGGTCCGATCAATAAAATTCACGGTCGAATCGTTCCGGCTCCTCCGCGAGGGAAAGCGCGATCAACCGAATCCTCGATTGAGATAAATGAACCCGCGAGAGGGATTGTTGAACGGTTTCATCAGTGATGGAGTGGATCATTATGAACGTTCGAGTGGCGGCCTGAGTTCGATACGTCGATTTCTACAAGTCATGAAGCGTTCAACGCGTACCAACGAATGAAATAAGATCAAAGTCACGGATAAAATACACAAATGTGCGTTCACGGGGGAAAAAAAAGTTCGTTCGTTACTCGTTGACGAAAAAATGAGTTTGAAACTCATTGCTGTTTACTGGCGCGTGAAATAACTCCGCGAGATGTCGTCCCGGTACCAGGCATCTTTCGAACTTTTTAACGGATTTGAATTATTAGTTCCTTCTGCTACCGCGTCACGCGGATTCTGTGGCCGTAAAAACACAGTGTGTTTACCAGTAATCTAGAACGATCAGTGAGAATCTGTAACTCTATCTCGCCTCGCTGAGAACTGGTTCTCGTCTGTGTGCAGGTAATTCGGTAAACGACTTCACTTTTATCTTTCGTTTGATAATGTTTCTCGACTAATCGCGGCTGGTTTTGCGTCCTCGTTTCCTTAACCTCACGAAAGAAACGATTGCAACTCGTCGGCCAAACAGATCGCGATTTCGCAACCTCTAAAATAAATTCCGAATTCGATTTTGCATTTCTAATTGGAATCGATCGTTTGAAACTTTGACAATTTACATTTCAAATAATACTGAAAATTGACTCGAAAATTTTTCACGTGATTGTTACAACGCGTTCCCAAAGTTCTGAAAGAGTTTCCCCGACGAATTGACTCGACGATCGGCATAGATCAGTTCACTTTGTACACATTAAACGTGCACCGAACAACATGATTATTTGGTACTTTCTCACAATCACAGAATCGATGAGAAATAATTTATGTCGGTCGTAATATTTCCAAGAGTAACACGTCAAATTGTATTCTTACGCACCCTCGCGGTTTGGCCGCGTGGATCATACTGAAGGCGCCGTGACTCGGTAGAGGTAGCGTTGCTTTACATCAAGGAGTGGGAGGAAGACAGAGAGAGGGACCGCGAGATGCGCGCCAAAACTTATTCGCTGATCGAGCCCCAAAGGATGTTTCATTCCAATCGTGGTAAGTACAAATATATATTATCGAAATTTGCATTTGTACGTTTGATCGCTTTCTTCAACATTTATGTCACCATACGCGCGTTATTTATTTTCTATTATTGTGGATGTGCAAATTACTTCATGGCGGTTCTTTCTAGAAGTCATCATCTTTGAAAATATACACGACACATGGACTATGTATGGTTCAGATGATGCTGAAGTAATCTTCGAAACAAATAACAATCTAATAAATGATCATGTCTGAGAGACAAATTTCTAATCTAAAGCGCAAATTAAAATGCAGTGTTTGTCAAACATTTGAAAGGTTTCGATCAAATAATTAAAATAATCGAATACAGAAACAGTCACATAGCGTACTATAGTGAAACTCGTAACAATTTATCCGGTAACGGTTAATCCGGCAATTATTGGGAATTTTACGCACTTGACTAATTTTTAAATGCATTCTGTTCGAAAAAAATGTAACACGCAATTTCGTCGGTCTTGATTTTCGTATTAATCGCCGTGACCCAATTTATACCATGACCTAGGATCCTTATGTTATTAACTGACTGCGGATTTTCACGTATTTTTGGATATTTGTTTAAATCAATAAAACATAGGATAGAAATTTGTTTCATTTACTAAATATATTTATAATAAATCATTTATTTTAGATATTTCATACACATATTTCTTTATATTCACGCATACATTTGCCTGCATTTTTAAATTTTCCATTAGAAATTCACAATCTAATTATCTATTTAATTTTATTTAATTTGAAACGTTGGCACGGAGGATTCGTTAGAACTTAAAATAAAGTTATACTGGAGTTAACTGCGAATTAATTTGCACATCTATATATAGTTCTGTTTAATAAAAAGGATTTTTACTCGTAATATACAAAGGTTAATGCATAAACAATACAGTACGTGCTGAATGCACGATACGCATTTATAATTCAACTGATTGTAATAATATTTATATTGCAATAATTACGATGAAGTACTGTTTGCAATCGATATTGCAACCATATTTAGAACCAACCGATAATATTGTACCTACTTCATGAATGAAGAGATCGAGCGTGATTGTTAACAAGTAATAGGCATGTTTAATTTTTCATGCATTGATAACAGCTTTCCATTTCTGTGCTGATAAGAGGAACAATTTCTCTGTAGAGTTTCCTTCGCAGTTTTGTTCTTTCGAACAAAAGAACAATATACAAATCTGTTTAACCAAATCTTACTCGTATTTTCTTATTTTTTCATTCGCTTGAACCTTTTTATAACGTAGTGTTTTTCCTTTCTTTTCTCGCTGAAATCGTCATTTGTTCTATTTCTATAATATTTTTAACGCGTTGTCTTATCTTCTTAGCGGTTTTCTCAAGTATGCTAGTTTCAGTTACATTTAATTTTAATTAAAATTACTTTTATCTCGTGCTTTTTCTAAGTGAAATTGACCAGAATTGACCGCGGTTTTTATTTTCCTTTCTTTCTTTAAACTTCTCTCTGCGCGTGTCTCTATAAAATAGCGAGAATCTAGAAGACAATGTTTCCTTTTATCACTTTTTATTTGACGAAAATTTTCATTAAAAATTTCAACCACAATAAATCGCAGGAAGAACAACGTGCTCCGTAATTACTCAAAGATTCCATAATCCAACTTATTTGGAGCGAGCTGTCTCCGTTTTTATCTGTATCGACCTGTTGTATTGGTGATATTAAGGAAAAAAAAAAGAATAATGAGAAATGTTACCATGTATCATCGATAATCTCGCGTCGAATTCGCGAATTGACATTTCCGGTAGAATTATGTTTGGCATTAAGCGAAATACTCGAGCAGTACAATCAATAACTATCGAAAATTCCGTCCAGTATCAAATAGCATGTTTCAACCTTTCTTAATAGATTTACAATTAGAAATTGTCAATTCGTAATACTTTATACACTACTTACTTTCTGGAAAAAAAATGAATTACACTAAAAAAAAATCTCGCGAATCCAATCGAACTTGAACATTATGTGAGATTTCATGTTCGTGTTAAATAAAAAAAAAGGAAACGTGAAGAGGTCCGTTTTTACAGTAGAAAATTAAGTTAAGAATAAAATGATATGATTTAAATTATTGAATATGAAATGATTCAGTTCATGAATGACAGTTCTACAAACATAATTACAAAAGTTTGTTACTGAATGTTCGATGTAATTATATTAATTTCTTCAGATTGTGAAATTTGTTTTATTTTGGATAAATACTAAAATATTTTCAATTTGATTATTTCATCTACAACCTCATATTTTCAATATCATTGTGTTAATTGTTTAAGGAATATTTAATTTCAAATCATCGAATAGTATAATCATTTAATTCATTGTTTAACGCAACTTTCCATACTATGGAAATTACGATTCAGATTAGTGGAACAAATGAATTCTGTTAACTATTTCCGATTGAAATAACAAGTAACACTGCAACACACAGTGTTTACTTAGTTAATTATAATCGTTCTTCTTTTATTTCTTCCTACTGTCCGTTGCATCGTATTTTGTAATTTGATTTTAAAAATAATCTTTTAGTCTCACAAATGAAAGAGTCGCTATCAAATTCGTGACTTCATAGCCGTATGCAAAAATTATTTTCCATTTAGTTGAACACGAAATATCATTTACATTTCACACGCGTATATCGTTTTCAACATCGAAACGAACGTATCGTTCACACGATATGGCCAGAAATACACTCGACATAAAAACACTCGATGCCTCTTGGCTTGCTTATTCGCCAGTATGGATGTGAAATGCCAGGATTTCGCATTTTAGCTTTGTTTAAACGTGAAAATAAATTCCCGTCGGAGTTCGAACGCGTTTGAACTGTTGCACAACTCATTACTCGCGTCAAGAATTTCTGCTCTTTCACGTTGATAAATGATGGTGTTGTACGCGTTACATGTTACGAGTTGCAGCTGAGAAAACTCTAGCTTTCGTTCCCCATTTTTTGAAAAAACAACAAAAATCTTCGAATCTTTCTTGCATTGTTATATCATTTAATTAAAGAACTATAGTTGATACAACGAAATAAAAAACAAAATTAAATATGTTTCATTGAGTTCAAAATAGGAGTCAAATTATGAAACAAAATAATAGAAGAATAAACTTCCCGAATATTTAACTCTTAATTGTTAAACATTGGATCATTGGATTAATTTAATTCTAACAATTTAGAGTTAAATTACTCAGTTTCAGAATTTTTAATTTAATTGAATTCTATTATTATCACGGAGAACATAAAGTATAAAACGAACGATCCTACAACGGACGAGTGCTATAACGAACAGTTTTTCTTATTAAATCAAAATGCTTTTAACGAACGCGAAGAAATATAATCGGTCGTTGTGCTCGTCTTTATAAATTTTCAGAAATTTATACATGTGTTCAATGTGTAAAATATAATATATTAATACGTTCTTATTTTATACATTTCTTATTAAAAACGTATGCATTATTTTTAAATGTATATATACATATGCAAATTACTATAGTCATTTATCAGCCTAAAATATCGATTTTCGTTTTGATCGCGAAGGACAACGTAATTTTGTTTAAATTCTATTTTTCAGCCATTTTCGAATATTCCGAACTTAAACGACCGAGCGAACATGTTCGATCTATAAATTATATTGCACAAGACGAATGTACTTTCCATGGACCGTGTTTGTTTGAAAATGCAGACGAATTAACGTGAAACTTATGCGCTGTTGCATCGAACAGCTCGCGTTTAAACTCCATTTCCACGCAGACATTAAGTAAACGGAATCGAGCCTCAATATAGCCGAATGAAAAGGATCATTCTAATTCAACCGCCGCGGAATTACGGTGCTTGTTACCGTGTGAACGTTAAAAACCCTTGTATTTAATCTAAAACGAAACACGAACGTGCCCGTCCTGTGTCTTGGTGTAATTGAAACTAAAGTTCTTTCAACAAGTTTCGAAGATATTTTCTTGCCTTCTTTTTTCCGAGACTGAAAGTTCGAACACGGCCCGAATAAAAAGAAAAGGTTGAAATCACCGTCTATAATAATTCGGATTTTATTCAAGTTTTAGAGATGTGACAAGTTGTAATTAAAGGTTTTATTTTCTTATAATCCGATTCACTTTAGATGATGGATATGATTTTCTCTACGTTATTATAACCATATTATTATACGTTATTAACGTATATTATAACTATAATACTTGATCTCAGTATTATGTTGTTTCATATAAATAATTCTCTAGTTTGATATTTTTGATTATCTATCTAATTTGATTATCATTTAGTCGTAAAAACTGAATACGGAATTACTCTTCAAGTTTCCACAGAAAATCTCAATATTTATCTTCCTCTTGACTTAAAAAATAAATAAATTAATAAAACTTTATGTCATATTGCTATTTTTTTTTTAATTTTTATTACAGTTGTTACTAAATTTTTTTTTAAGCATAAATGTTAGAAAATTTTTATATTCTCGCAGAAAGTTCTCCACTAGTAAATCGTATGTTCTTATAAAACTGTAATGAAACTTTTTGTGACTTTGTTGTATACGTGTCACTTATGAACATATAATATTACGTATGTTGTACATGAAATTTAATTATCATTTTTATAAACTCGACTATGATAATTACATTAACAGTCAATTATTTATTATATTAATAAATCTCAATATTTAATGGAATTATTTTTAACATTTACTATATGTTTAAAATAGTTATTCATGCTGTGACTGGAGTTTTTATCATACACTTGTAACTTCTATATTACTATACTTTCGGATTTAATTTAATTTTGCTAATGTAATCAAATCTTTTATCATGTCAATGAAATCATGTTTTCTATGTGTACAAATACGTTTGTAAACTATTCTACGATGAAATGACCACATTTAAAAAATTATAGAAATGTCTATTTCTACTCTCTCCTTTGCAACTTTAATTCAGAAAAAGAGGAGAAATTATTACTCGATTCTTGGATTAAAAAGTTATTCTATTAGTGAATGAGGTCCTGAAAGTGTTATACAATGTTTAGTTTTAGAAAGTATTAGAAAATAATATATGAAAATATTAGAAAATAATATATGAAAATAGAAAGTTGTCAAAATCAAAATTTCAATTTCAGGGACTTTTTACGTTTTTTTTTCTTTTTTAGAATTTTGGCAATTAATATAAAACGTACAGCGAGGTATGTGGGCACTTGCGATATACAAGATTTATTAAATTATTACAGTTACTATATTATATGAGAATACACAATTTTTACATGTACATTATAATATATTATGTATCTCGGTATTTACTCTCTTCTCCCATTCTTTGTTTCTCTCGTTTTCCCTTTATACACACTTTCTCTACTCAATACAACTCTTCTTTTGCGTTTCTTCCTCTCGCGATATTTTATCTCGCGTACAAAACGAATAATTATCAGAGGGGTTAGTTGAGGGGGAGGATTGGGGGGGAGGGGGTATATTAACGAGAGCGAACGCTTGTCCTTTGCCGAATAAATTAGACTCAGTTTACACGTATCAGCAACAATTAGAATTTGTGCCCTATCTCACAAAGGTGTACAACCCGATTCGTCTTGACATTATGCGCGCAAAATAGAATACTGCGATTACATATACACGTAATACTGGACGTGGACGATACTCTTTTTTATTTCTTTTTTTTTTTTGTTTTTGTTTCTCTCTTACTCTAAACCGTTTCTAACTTAGCTAACTATTATGCCCTGCGTAGTTCTAAATCGTTACATGTACTTTCCGATACTCTTAATGTACAATTTACCTCGTGTTCACACGTACAAACTGGAAGTGTTCGCGAAATCTTCGTAACATCGACAGGGTTCGATGACTCGTAGTATATAACATCTTTTCAACTTGTTTCAACACGAGAAAGGAGAAAGAAAAGAGCGACGAGTGACGAATTGCTCGATAAAAATCGCATTTTTTTTTCTTTTTTTTTCTTTCGCGAAATATAAGGCTTAATGGACTTTTGTTCTCTTTTAAGACATCGAACCATCTTACTCGACACGCTTAAAACGACGACGTGACACGCTTTTAAACAGCACCCATTATTGACTCTGGAGCAACCAGCGTTGCAATTATTTTTTGTGCAGTATGATAATCTCTCGTTCGTCTTGTGCTCGTCCAAAGATATACGTATCATCCGATCGACCATTCGACGTTTTTCTCAATATGATACAAAAAATATTGGCGCGCACCAGCGCGTACGAATATAAAATATACTCTCGCGCGTATTGTACAAGCCCGCGTTTCTTTATCTTTTCTCTTTTTCTCTTTTTCTCTATCTGTATACGTAAGTGGGGGGTCAAAACGGTCACATCGTTTGCTCGTGAACCACGGCCACCGTGTGATTTAGCGAGCGACAAAGTGTCAAATGAAAGGGTCGAGTCGAAGTAAAAATTTCCCACGAGGTTTTCGCAACGCGTAACGGACTAGACTGCAGATTTCTATGCGTTTGAAAATTCTTACGGACACGATTAAAATTTGTTTTATCTACTGTAATAAACACTTTACTTTGAACATTCAATCCAAAAAAAAATCCGCAGTCTAGCAACGACTCTTTCGCTTTCGAGGGAAATATAATCGGATGATCTGAAACTTACGACCGTTTCTTCCACTTACTTACGTACTTTGAACATTAACTCGACATATACAATTACTTATGTGGCTGCTTCGCTCATTTAATTACTAGAGAATAATTATATATTCGTTTTGTTCCTCCGTTCTCCCGAAAGCTACCTCGCTTACGAAAAACACTGAAGTGAGAGATGCTGGCTTTGGTATAATCGATAATCTCTCCTAAATACACTCTGTAAATGCTAAATCGATAAAAAATACTATTCATCTCCTTAGCCCCTGCGTATATGTACACGCGCACAATTAAAAAGGCCAGACAGCACGGTCAACGTTGCCCTGGCCAAATCATTTTTCACGGCTCACAACCGAAGAGAGTTACGAGGTCCAGCTGTTTCGTTTCGATCGGTTCAATTGACATTTGATTCGTTATTGGAAACAGAAAGTGGCAACAAATTCGCCACCGGGCTCAATGATGACTGTTCTTCGTTTCGTTTCGTTTTCGTTTTCTTAACTTATGAGAGATTGGACGTTCGTTCAGGAAAAGTTGCCTCGATCTCTTCGGCTTTGAGCCGGCAATTTCCTCCTTCTGTTCGAGACACAGAACTTCACTTTGCTAAATTGCAAATAACGCTTGCCGATACGCAGAAGTTGTTCTTAATTAACGCGCTCGCTGTGCCCTTGTAAAATTGTCATCGATGCTGATTAAAATAAGAATTAATTGACAGCGGACGCTTTAACCGTTTGAATCGTGCTAATACAACACATATAGGGTGTCTCTTTTTTTTTTTTTTTTTTCTAAGTTGCAGATTAGAGCGAAAAGTGAAATGAATCCGAATGAACACCCAATTGGCTGGAATCGAATCCAGAGTTCCGATCTGCCACTTAGAGAATAAACACTTGATACTTCGCTTGTTTGTTCCTAAAGGCATACAGATTAATCACACACACACCTGGAATAATCCCTTTCTCTCAATTGCGCTTGGAATTCTTCGATATACGCTCGTTTCCGTGGTTCATCTTGCCGTTTCATCGTGAACGTAATTCGTAAAAGGATGTAGAAAAACTCATATCGAATCGACATACAGGCGATTCAATTTCCATCGACAGTCTTTCTAAAACGATACTGAATAACGAACTGGATCGATCTCTGAATTGTTGTTTCGCAAAGAAATGAATTTTTTTTCCCCGACAGTACAATCCAAATAGTCAAGATGGCACTAGAACGTTTCGTTTCGGTAAAAAACGTGATACATAAAAAAGGAATAGAAAAATCGTACGATTAGTAGTGTGTTGCAAATAACCCAATACTTTCTCAATATCGGTATAAACGTGTAAAAGCTAAACTGCTGAAATTTACTTAACTCTCCTCTTCTTCTTCTTCTTTTTATTTTTTTTTTTTTTCTTTTAACCCACGGTTAATTTATCGTTAAGCGTGTAATGCAAAGTTTGCACATGTGTGTACAATACGTGTATTCGTGTGTATATATATCTATCTTTATATATATATATATTCTCTCTTTGTATATATATATATATAAGTAGGATTCGTTGAATTTGTTGCGATATTTTCCAAGGAAATCCGAAGCGATTCCATTCGATATTTGATTAATCGATCGCGTGCATGACGTGGAATATGCAGGGTGGTCCGTAGCTGGTGCTACAATTGAATATAGGACGATTCTACGAAGAAAAATAAGACGGAAATGTGAAATATAATTATTTTGCATTTCTTTTCAGAGAAAATTGGATTTAAAAATTTATCAAGCAGAGCTGAATTTGACTAATTCTAGAAAGGAGTTAATAATTATCAGGAGATTATTGTGTCTCTGAAAATAAGAAAAAAAAAAGGAAAATGTAGAAAAAATCTTTCCATTTTAAGAAAATAAACATTATTGAACATATTCAGTTCACAATTGCCTTAATAGACGTTCGCGTAATTTTCTCGAGCGTCTTATGAAAAAATTGTACTCTACATTTTTGACTTATTTTTGTAAATAGCGTAGCCACCTGTGTATTATTTATTTCTGACCAGTTCAGAATTAGTTAAAATTGAGTACAGTTCAAAAACAAACCTTCGTATTCGAAAAAATTTTATCTTATTTTTGTTCGCAGACTCTCGCCTTCTACTCAATTGTACTAGTTACAGACCACTATATATACGAAGAGATATTTTACGATCAACGCAACACACAACAAAGATTATTGTTATTTAATTCACACTTTCAGTTGACATACAATTATTTTGGAAATATTTATCGCTTGTTCGACATTGTAAATGTTAAAAAATCGCCGTTAGACGATTCGAACAGTGTTCCCAAACGAGAATTCATTTGAGATCTTAGAGGCTTCAATGGCCTAAGTTTTCATAGTTTGAATTATCACGCGCTTTCAAGCAAAGAAAGGTTGATTTTACCGTTTGTCAAGTAATTCTCGAAAGATACAGTTTTCACTGCGAAAGATTTATTTATACGGCATTTGGCATTTGCATTTTTTTCGTGAAACTGAAAACCTTATTGCACAGATGAATGAAACATAGAATGTAAAAGGAAAGGAAAACGAGTATTATCATTGTATTTGACAAATATTACTCAACAAGTAAGTGTAAGATGGGTGTGAATTCAAAAACTTCAAACAATATGAAAAGACAGTAAGAAAGGAATTTTTTTTCTTTATCAAATTATATAAAATATAACAAAGCTTCCTTGTTTTATATTTTAGTACTAAGCATATACCTTGCAGCTACTTTCGAAAAATAAAACAAAGTAAACTGACATAAGAGCACGGCAACGAAAATTGATACGTGTTTGCTGCAATACAAAGACAAGAAATCGTTCTTCTCTCATTGATTTAAAAACCTCTGCTTTGAGGTTTCTCTCAGAGTCACATAGAAACCTACGCTTGGACTGTCTGCGACTGACAGAATGAATTCTACATACTGGCCATGTCGTTAAAATTTACAGAAACGTGCGCTGGTAGTTTCGTCGAAGACTGTGCCCCACCTCCAAAGAAACAGACGTACTCGCCTCTTGTTAGTAACAAATATTCAGTAGTTATCTGATGATTTTGATGACTGCGGAATAATGTTTTCCGACGATGCGTTCAGTCTTTGATGCCTCGTCAAGCCAAACATGTCAATGCATAAATTTCGCCTGGATAAAATACTCAATGTTTCGTTTCTCTCTCGGGTAAGCGCTTCTCGAGGTGCGTGTTGTTCTCTCTGTGCGATGATTAGTACCATATTCCGGAGATGTTATCCCATGTCGAATACAGAATTTTACGATGAACTGACCACACGGTTCGGGGAACGAATTCCTTCGTCGGGCATCGAAAGAAAAGGAATCGTTATTTCAGCGATCGGACCGTTCAAACGATGCGAAAGACTTCATCCTTGGCCGATCCTTACGAGGACCTAGAGCGACGATGGCCGATCCTCGCAAACGATTTTTCGGTGGCTGTCGTTCTCCGCGAGACACTTGCCTGTCTCGAAGAGGTCGATCGAGTTGGAACCATGTAGTCAGGCATCCGGCTCACCTTTCAGCCTCAGACGAGCAAAGTCCTCGAAGATTATGTCATCGTCGCAGTCCGCCTCTCTGAAACGAGACAGAGAGAATTTTCAAATTAAATTCTGAAATTAAAGAATTATCTACGATCTCTATTTGCATTTACTAAATGTCTAACAAATAAACGTTGGCAACTGGAAAATTTAAAAAAAAATTCGGAGCTTTGTACAATTGTTTTTGTATAAATATATTAATTATTATGTTACGTGGTGATAATAACGGAACAAAAAATATAATACTTCCATTATCCAAATGTTCGAACAGGGTTAATAATAATAGATGCCTTCTCTTCTACTAATTTATTTTATCACGTGTAATATAATATAGGAGATTGTTTTTAATTCTGTGCTAAATCAACATTTTGTTAATGAGTCAACAAAAATATCACAGATATAATTTGTTCACAAAGTGAAACAGTAAACAAAAATGATGGGAATATGTTTTATCCCCCCTCCCCCCCAAAAGGACTTCGATGATTCAAAGCACAAAAGGAATGAAATTCTGTAGAATTTATACTTGTGCCAAAAAAATTAATTCATTTAGGCAATTTAATTCTTAATATAAATAGAAATGAACTAAAAATTTTTTTTCATCTGCACTTGGATACATATAGTTGAATAGAGAAAACAGATTACTCCATTATTTCGAAAATTTCATTAATCAAACTTCTATCTCTCTATTAGTTCGAACGTGGCAGGTTCTACCAGTACTAATTTTGTTGAATAAGAAGCAGATTGTTAGTGGTATATACGTCAACGATTTCGCCGAAATGTCCTCCGATTGACGAGAATAGCTCGAAATTGTTACTGAAATATTGATCACGTACGTGTCCAATTGAATCAGATTCGTGTCGAGCGGTATCTCGCCATCATCTGCCTTATGCGTCGGACTAGGCCGTGCGGTGGGTGGCGCTGGTTCCTCTTCTTCCGGTTTCGGATGCATCAAGATGAACGGCAGTTCCGCTACTAATTCGCTGTTTAACAACGTGAATTAAACTCTCCGTTCATTTCCTGACGACTCGGGTTCACGAGTATATATATCAATTTATATTGATATAAATTGCGACAACGTTGAATAGGAAAAACGTTTAGACGGTTTTAATATTTTACAATTTTTCCGCGTAACATTTATAATTACAAAGCTGCCGTAGAAACAAAACGTGCAAAAATCTTGGTAAAACGTATTATATTTTTTTTAGGAGATCTTTTCTATTATCTCTGTTCTGTTACGAACAACCGAAACGTCGGCTCTTTTATTAAGAAAGTTGAAAATAATAGAAGCCAGAGATAAAAACAGATATTTCAAACATTTTTTGGAAAAAAAGAGTCGTCGAATAAAAATGAATTTTTGTTTAAACAGAAGCCAGTTATCGATGGATTTCAAAAAAAATTTCCAAAGATAAACCAGATATTTCGAGCATTTCTTTGGGAAACGAAGTCGTCGAATAAAAATGAATTTTTATTTGATTGAAAGCCAGTTATCAATAGATTACAAACAAATTTCTGCGAAACACAAACTTTTTAATTGTCATTATGAATGATTAAGATTTTTTGACTATCGGTGATTATTATCGACGATCAGAGTTTTAACTTGTTTAGAATTGTTATCGGCGGTAAAAAAATTTGTTGGTTACATTCGATTATTATTAGTCAAACTTACCCTCCGAGGGGTCCAAGGCAGAGCTTTACTTTCACTTTGTACTGAACGATAATCCCAAGGTTCTCTCGCTGCGAGGGATCCACCACACTGCGGATCACAAACACGGACATTCATCAGTCTCGTCTTTCGATACATCTCGAACGGAACATGCACAGTTAGCAGAGCAGTTGGAATTTACCAAAAAGCGATCAACACTCAGCCCAAAGGAATACTCTAACGAACAGTATAGTAGTACGAAAATATTGTACAGGTAATAGTTAGGACGGGAATAGTCTCGGCTTGTTGAAATCGTATAGGAAGCGTTCAGAACGAGCACAGTATCATCATGCAGCTTCAAAGCAACAAATGCAAAGCGATTATTCAAACAAAATGAAGCGGGGGAAACAGGGTATCGATTTTTCGACAGCGTCGAGCATGATTGCTCACACGTCTTGGAGTTTGTACAATCTGACGCGAACAGTGCGATTGAAGTAAAGTTATCGAACGAAGATATATCGAATATATCCAAAAATCATTTTCATGGCGCAAAGATCGAAAGCAATTGTATTTTTCGGAAAACTTTTATCTTTCACCGCACTCGTTTACGTCGTGGTATTCTTATTACCGATGGTGTTGAGGATTTGCAGCAGTGTCGACGAAGCAAAATCGATCCTTCAATGCGTTCCTAGCGTCTTATCGACGCTAATCTAATCGAGTCTACGGCTCATGACCGGTTCAACCAACCAAGTGTACATTCGCTCCCGGTTGCAACGAAATCGCGCTGAGAAATACGCACTAAATACTCTAATGAAGCAGCTAAAACGCAACGCCTAACCGTGATCTCATCCCGCGATCTCTGCGCTAAATGATACCAAGTCCGCTACATCGCCAATCGGCTAACTCATGTCTCACAGTGGGGAAATCATCGAAAACGCGACAGGAGCACGACAGGACTGGTGCCGTTCACGACTTCTCGCCTGTCGTTCCGCAAAATGACGGCCGGCCATTATCGCAAATTGCCCGCGATTATTCGCATAATTGCGCGCAATTATCGTCACGCCGCGTCTTCATCGCCTTATCGAAAGTGCAACAATGCAAACACATGCGCGAATTATTACCTCACCTCACGAATGCAGCCTGCTCTTCTCGCGGATCGTCATTCCAAATGTACGATCTTCCCGTTCAATTCGAACCATCGAACGGAACAATGATCTTTTCTCTTTCGAGAAATGAGAAACCGAGAAACACGGGTGTGAAAGCGTCATTGTGATAACAAAATGTTTTTTTGTTGGACAGTGAAACTCTATTTTCCATTGAATTGCTCCCCTCCCCTTTTTTAAAGTCTCGTTAGACCGCAATATCAAAATTAAATTGCTTCCAATTTTTTTTTTTTTGGCAAACTGAAGTGCTCTCGATACACGATTCATCTCTCGAGATGAACGTATGCTTTTGCAGTCGATCATCCTGTCGACGGGTTTCAAAATCGATGAAAATCTCGCATGTTTATTTCGTCGTGGATTGAAACGTTTTGCAAATTGATTGGTACAAAATTACCAGCGTTCCTGTGAAACCAAAGAGATAGATGACGGTTTTTCATACGTAGGATGATTTTAGAGATGTAAAACGGATCGGATCGATCCGGAAAGAAAAACGTGTGCTTCGTTTCTGAATATATAGAACTTCGGAACGGAAGATGCTATATTTTGTGCATACGCGAAACGATATAATCATACGATATAACCAAAAGTATCGGCGAATCGAAGCAAAGCCCGTGGGGAATCGTAAAATTTTGCGACGATATTTTGACCTAACTCAAGTAAGCAGACCACCCTCAGCTGTGGAAAACTAGATAAATTTTTTTCCATACGCAGCTTTTTCGACTTTAGATGTCATTTTTTTTTTAAAACATCATTTTGATTGCTGCAAAGAATTTATCAATTTATAAATTATGTGTCATTTAAAATGTAATCGTTTAAATTATTATTATAACATAATTATTTAGTATAATTACTATAATTAATTATTTAATTTTGCATATATTTAAACTTAATTCCTGTTAGTGAGCACGAGTTTCTCGATTGCTATTTCGATGTTAGCAATGTTTCTGTGATAATTCAAATTTTTGAAAATCTCCCTACTGCATTTTAGACACTGTAGTTCTATTTGTAAATAGATATAGATTACAATAATCAATGGAAATTTTAGAATAATTTTGGAACAATTTTTATCGAGTAATTATTAATAAAAAAATTTTTAAGAGATAAATCTCCAATTGTTAAATATACAAGTTAATTCGTGACTTTTGCCAATTGGCTAATTGTAATCTTATTTTGAGTTCAATTCTGTTCTTTGTGCCAACAGAACGTTCCGATAAGCACAATATCAGATAATACTGTTTGCATTTCAATAAAAAAAAAAAAAAAAAAAAAAAAAAACGGGGCAAACCCAAAAAAAAAAAAAAAAAAAAAAAAAGAATACGTGGCAAACTCAATAAAAGAAATGATATGTTTTTTCCGTAGGTTATTCCCTCACTGATTTATTCAGTAGATTTGTTTCGATTATTTTCGCATCCTCTGGTCGACACGTATCTTAAAATACTCAAAGATATCGGGGAAATTCTTCGATTAGAAACTACCACAATTTGAATAAAATTTGGGAATCTGAAAATTGTATTATAATACAAACGTATACGAAATGATCAAGATATATTAGTTCTTTGCATATGAACAATAAAAAAAGAGACTCGAATTAATTTGTGCATCTATTGTAATATCTTCATCGTACATCATTATCAAAAGAAACAATCGGAAGATGAAAGAAAAGCAGGCTTTCTCAGCCTTCGTTTTCTCCAGAATGGTAATTCAAAGTAATTTATAATTAAAATACGATTTACCAATCTTTCTCTCAGAAGAAAAGTCCACGATGAACTTTTCATCGAGTGGGTTTCATGCCGCGGAAACAGACGCGAGAGAAGGAGGTTCAATTGTTCGAATAACAAAGAATTACAGGCTCCGTCGACTTTGAAAGCTGTCTCACTTGTCAATAAATTAATCGCCATCGATGACGACAGTAATTAAACATTAATGAGACTGTTAACTGCTCACGGAACGCTGGTTCACGAATAACAGACATGTAGAATTACGTTTAAAGAATCGGCAAACTTTGCGGCACGAACGCTGCAGCAGAGCTTCAAAGGGAAAAGTGAAAACGCGGTCTAGCTCCTCGATTTGAGACTCTCATCACGTCTGGAACGTGAAAAGACAAAAGACACCGGGATCCAAGCCCTTTTACGCCTGTCGTTGAAACGGGGGGGGGGGGGGGGGGGAGTGGAGGCGAACGGTAGAGTCCAAGGATGAAACGTAATTTCTTTCTCGCGCGGCGTATGTTTAATTCACTGTATTCCCGCGATGAAACACGAAACGCGTATGACACGTATGGATGATCTCGGGCAGTACACGAGCACGCCTGGTGACTAGAGAAGTCGTGATCGCACGCGCGATGCGTGATCGGTCCTTTATGATGCGTAGAAATAGAAAAAGACAGAGACAGACAGAGAGAGAGAGAGAGAGAGANGAGAGAGAGAGAGAGAGAGAGAGAGAGAGAGAGAGAGAGAGAGAGAGAGAGAAACAGAGTAGCACGTACACTCAGTACTGATCAAAAGCTTGGGTTTAAGAATATTGGCGTTGTTGGAGGATAAATATTCAAACGAGGAGGAATACGACGGTGTGTCTGATGAAACGTCAGCCAAACGCGCATCGATTAACAACAACACGCGCAACCACGCAATGATGCTCGAAGCAACGAGACGACTGATTCGAATGATCGTGAAAATTATGAAATGAAAAGAGAGGGCGAGGCGGGGGAGGGGGAGGGGGGAGATTTAAGTAGCTGGTCACCCAAACTTTTGAGCAGTCCTGCATATATATATATACGTATATATATGTATATATTCAGACGTGTGTTGTCCATCGACAAGCAGCGGTTTTCTTACAGGGTGCTGGACGCCAGATTGGTGTCCTCGTCTTTGATCTGGCCATCGAGGGCAAGCCCCCATTTATCTTTGTTGTCGGCGAGAAGCGGTTTCAGAGAGAACACTTTGCTCAGCGTGAAACCTGGCCCCACTAGGCACCCCTCCCTGATAAACATGTAGCAGAATGATGAAGGTAAACGTGCCACGCGCCTAATATATATATCCGGATCAATCGAAATTCCGGAGAGTAAAGGCTCGCCGATAACCGCGCGCGAAATTGGTTTCTGCGGGCTACTTCGGGCTAATACGCGTCTCTCCGTTCACGCGGCGCGGCGTTGCTCCCGTCGAGGAATGACACTGACGCGTTTCCAAAGCTGCTTGAAAAACAGCAATCAGGCATTGACATCCGCCGTCGGTTCAATCACGCAGACACACACACACTCACACGTAGATTGACGTGTTTCCGACACAGCGCAATTGCCATTTATCGCTGGCCAAATAAAATTCGACATGATTGATTCAAGCGTTGTAGAAAAAGGAACATCGTTGTCTAATCTGTTCGGGCATGATCGATGGCAAACTGCTAAACGCGGTGAATCACGGTTTCTTCCCGATTCGCGGCCGATTGGAATCGCGATACGGGAATAAATAAATTGCATTTGAAATTTAAATGCGACCAGGCTGCTTGCCGGATCGTCTCGGAAATTTGCGTTATCTTTAAATCTCGAGCGTCGAGAAATGCCGACGACCCCGAGGCTCACGGGAACTTACAGCCCAAATCCTTCTCCTTTTTTTTTTCTTCTTTTTTGCTCGTTCGGCGAGAATCAACGGAGCTCGTAATACGGGAGTAAACAACCGTTTTGAAAGCAACGATGTACCGTTCCCGGTCGGAGATGGTAAAACACGGCTACACGCGCGTACGTACTTCAATATCGCAGAAACGACTCTCGCGATCCTCCAGTGACGTGTAGCATCATCGGGACGACGTAGAGCCGTCATTCTCGATGTCGCGAAATGTCCCATAATTCCGAAAGCTCGGTCGTGAGAGAGGCACGCGTTGACTTGAATCTCGACGGGGACAGAGCTAAACCCTGCGTGATGCTAGCTACGTGACGCTATGACGATCCTGACTCGCGTACAGGTGTATATGTCTTTCTGTGTGTACGAAAAAACGCGAAACTTCAGCTTGTGCGTCACACTGCAATACAGACTACATGGATATACAGGGGAGAGGGGAGGAGGGGGAGGAAAGGAGGAAGAAAAGCGAGAAAGAGAGAGAGAGAGAGAGAGAGAAAATGTGATAGAAAGATAGATAGGATCGATCAGCATATTAATTGTGGGAAGACACAGACGTGGAGATAACAGAAAATGAAAACGAAAGGGTTGGGAGAGGCTTAGAGAAACAAAGAGAGAGAGAGAGAGAAAGAGGGACGTGTCCCCTGTACAGCAAAATAGACCACCACCGATGGAATTCCATATCCATAAGAACTCCTCAGCAAAAAGGCCATGAAGGGAAAATACTGGCATTCCACTTTGAGTATTCCCATACAATATCGTACTTCGATTCTCAACAACGTGATCGTTCGCAAAGACTGCAAACAGGCTTTGATGCAAATTAAGTTCCGACGCGAACGTACATATTCATCTCGTTATTGCATATTTGCCAGCACGAGCAATCGAAAATTAGATCGTCGAGGATTGTTCGTTTGCTGATAAATTTCGTCTGGAGCATTTCGTATAATTTCACAGAGAGAACATTATGCGAAATAACGCGAGCACATTCCCGTTCGAAGTTAGAAGCCAACCGCGAAAATCACCAGAACATTCCAGACTGTTATATTCTTCCGACCGATGGATACGGAGAATCCGCGCAATCCGCGCAAACTTCGAAACAAATCTCAGGCAGAGTTTTCCAGAATCATTTGGCCCGTTTCCAGTCTTCGACCGCGAACGTTCGCTTCGGGGGAGGGCGGGGAGAAATGGTAGCCGGCCAATGTTTGAACACTCACATTGTACTAGATGCGAGATTGGTGTCCTCGTGCTTAAGTTGGCCGTCTAGAGCAAGACCTCGCTTGTCTTTGTTGTCAGCAAGCGTTGGCTTTAGAGAAAAGACCTTGCTCAGAGTGAATCCTGGCGATACCCCTACACTGCCAGTGCAATCATTTTATTTTCCGTTTCGTCGTGTTACAACTCCTTTCGGCATTTATCGCGCTCTACGAATTTTTCAAGTACGCACCTATCGTTAACGTTAATCGGGACGGTTCTTTCGTCCCCTTTCATTACACGATCTCACAGTGGCGCGTCTCCCTTTTCGTTTACACAGTTTCACCGATAGATGTGACATACTTCCAGCTTTACTATCGATCGTTTTTCGTAGACGTAAGGTGAACGTCAATTTTTCTAGTTTCGTCGCGCGTAATAATCGGTAAAATCTCAAGTTTGAATGTACATTTAACGAACGAACGGAAATTGTATGCATCGTACTGTAAATATCGAATGGTTCATATTCCTCCGACATGAGACGCGCAGAAACCAGTACGAAGGCGTCATTGACGCGATGTAAATTCTCGCGTTCAATTGAAAACCATTGCGACGCGATTTACACGTGTTCCTGCGTTTGCGTCGATAGATCCCGCGAGTGGCTCGTGCTTGGTCACGTTGCAGAATATGTTATACTCGTAATTTTGACCGCGAGACGCCACCGTGTATAGGCCAGCTGGTTGCTATTTAAGGATATCGAGCCGCTCGAAATGTGAAACGTCTTCGAGCACTCTGTCAACGTCGATGGATCAATTGCTAGCAGACGCAGGACTTCGTCTCGTCGAACGCGAGCAGAAATTTCTTCGCGGTCGCGTTAACGTTTCGGAGAATCGTCGTGAAAGTTTGGCAATAAATAGCTCGAGAATTCCAACCATGGTGATCTTCGACGACCCGGTAAAAACTTCAATTCGCAACGAAACGAATCTCGAATTTACGACTAAAACTCACCGGTCACAACGAGATACGAAACAACGAGAACGTTTCATCAGTTAGCGAACAATACGCCTGCACGAAGTGCACGCGTACTCGCGCCGCAACTTTCGTTCGTAGCATCGCGTGTATATGGACACGGATCCATTTGTTGCCACACTTTCATAGCCTGTTGGTACGTTTCACGTCCCCTCCGTGTTGCGTGTTCATAGAGAAGAATGGCGTGCAATGAATGATACTCACTCGCTCTCCGCCTCGGCGACCGTGCACTTGTACTGCGCGGTGGAGAAGAGACAAATGTCCGCGAATTGCCTCACGGACACTTTGATTCTCTTCACCGTCCGGTTACTGCTGTTTGCTATGTGCACGTTCACGGCGATGTTCTCGCCGTGGTGGTACAGCTCCTTGTCCAGCGACGCCTCCAGATGAAGCTTGTTCGGCGACATGACGAACTCTTTGCTCACCTCGACGGAAGGCTGTTCGCCTTGCTTCGACGGCGCGTACATGATCTTTCGTATCGCCAGCCGTACCGAGCTTCTACAACACGCACGGTGATTTATCATCGTCAACTGGTTTGCAAATCGTTTGCCCATGCTGCGACACAGTCTATGTCTCGAGATCTTGACAATTCTCTTTTTTTTTTTTTTTTTTCTTACGCGAAACGACGAGATCTACGTCGCTAAGGATACATTATTAATACTTTTGCTACGTGTTCGAATCAATCGAGAAATACAGGGTGGAGCGTGTGTAGAAATCTGACGAGTTTTTCGAAATTCCCGATTATTTTAATTAATATCGTAGAACATGAATATTACTCATTTTATTTTTCTACATCGTTTCGTTCAAGAATCGCCAATTGCAATTCCAATCCCTTAATCTTCATTTTATACATCGACATAAAATATAAAATATAATGTATTTTTATTATATTCTGTATATATATTATATTTTAATATAATATAATATATATTATATTTATTATATTCTGTATATATATATATTATATTATATTTTATTGTTTTTATTTTTAAAAATCGTCAGATTTCTACATTCTTACACATTCCACCAGACGGAATATTCGCGTTTGTTGAAGTGTTTCACCGCGAACGGGTTCAAAGGAGACAAACACGTCGTCAGACGGCTGGAAATCGATCTAGTAAGCGAGGGCGGAGGGAATCGCGTGATCGTTAAACGTTCCTCTGACGATCGCGATAATCGTGGCTCGTACCGTTTCTGCGGTTTGTCGTCCTGCGTCTCACCTACGAACGCTTTCAATTCGTAGTCGACGCCGCATGGTTTCCCAGTGTCGCCGGGTGCTGGCTGCAACGTCACCGACGCGGGACAGTGCGGCGGAAGCTCGAAGTAGAACGGATACGCGTTGTTCCCCAACTTCTTGATCAGCTTCTCCTGCAACCGTGTCAGCTTCCTCTGCTGGGCACCGGGCACCACCGGGTAGATCTGCTCGGCGGCCAGATAAAGATCCTTGCGAAACGTCAGCCCCAGAACGTCCAGGTCCTCCCTGCCGTACTTGAACACGGCTAGAACGTGGCCGAAGACCTTGCGATCCTTCACGTAGTCTGGGTCAATCAGCACGACCCCGTCTGTAACGATCGAACAGCGATCGGTGAGCAGAGGCTTAAGTGGCCTTCGCGTGGTTCGAAGATTAACCGATCGTTGGAGTAAATCGAATTTTCCCAGTCTCCGCCCGTTCGTGCCGCGTCTTTCGTCACGCTACGTCGACGACAACGACGACGTTCCGCCGTTAAGCAGCTACGTAGCTGGAATAATTGGATTCAACGTCGAAGAGGCGAGGCAACAACGCAATAAACGTACCGATGTTTCAGACCGTTTGAGACCGAAGTTGCACGTTCGAGGGAGAAAGAACATTGAGCGGCTTATCGACTCAACAGGTAGAATGGCTAATGAAGGTTAATCAGCTAACGACGAGGAAACAATCGAGATGCTCTGAAGTGTTCATGCGCGCGTGGGTGTGTGTGTAGGTGTGTGTGTGTGTCTTACCGATAGGATCAACGTGAGTTATGTGATCGACGAAATCCCTTTTCCCAAGGTACACCGTGATCTTTCCATTGACGCTGGATTTCTTGAAGACACGAGTAGCTTGCCGCTTGCCGGCACAGTCCACAGTGTCCATCGCGCAGGTCTCGGGGCTTGCGATGGCCCCTAACTCATTTGACTCCTCAGACTCCGAGTACTCGGATTCCGAACTGTCCCACTGCAAAGGAAAACTCAACGTTAAGAGCGAAAAGCCTCGGGAAAGTGTCAGACATTGGCGAGGATCGTATAAATTCTAAATACGGTCACGATCCGTACAAATTCCACCTATAATTTCCCCTGTTGGTGACAAGTTTTGAGATTTACGTGAATTTTTCAAGCAGAATCGATTCTTTCTCTTTCAACGCTAGACCTAACTACCAAAGTGATCAAAATGACCAATTTATCATTTTTGTTAGTCGCGAAACAACGTATTTTTAAAGATTTAGATAATCAGAATATACAAATAAAGACTTGTATTATAAATTTCTCTATTTTTTTTTTGACCTCAATTGTGCTTTTAGTCACCAGTAGTTCAAGTATCAAATTAAACTTTCCCCCGCGATTTTGCCTAACACTTGCGATCCAACGACTCGATTTACAAGTCACCGCCATTCGAAATTCTTCCACCAGTCATCGTCCACTTTATAATCGTTTCAAAAACCGTTTCAAACGGTTCGTCACTTCGTCAACTTTCTTTCCTTCGTCATTTCTCGTTGTTCCTAAGGAGCGAGAAATTTTCAGCAGAATTATGGCCGCGTTTTTCAGCGTCTCGCCGCTGTTGCACGGCGCTGGTATATCCACCGTGTGCCTCGGCACGCAATTCGCACGCATTGTGAATCGACAAAGCCGGCGCGTACTGCGATGTACGTCAGAAAGGACGTTCGTCGTCGTTCTTTGAGAACGGTGCACGTACGCGCGCGTAAAACGGCTCTTTGATCGGGATGTCGTCAAAGGAAACGGCCAGAAACAGAGAGAAAAGGGGGGAGGTGGAGATAAAGAGAAAGAAAACAAGAAAGAAAAAACGAGAAAGAGAGAAAGAGGAGAGCCGGTGCCAAAAGAGAATGTAGATCATGTATTTATTTCGTTCTTCGCGATGGAACGAGCCGAGCAACGAACACCTCTCGCCAAGCGAGTTTTCCCAGGATTTTCATTTTTATTACTGCCCCTTTGCCCCTTTTTTTCCCTTGGCAAACGTGAATCTATTGAAACGTCACCGTCACAGACAATTGGAAGCTTCTCGAAGTTTCCGAGAGGTTTTGCCACAGACTTGAGAAGCTTAACGAACTCGAAGGAGGATTTGAAGTCTGGGGAAGTCTCTCGGGGTAAAAGCATTGGCGCTGGCGTTAAAATGCGCGTTAAATAATCGATGGATAACACAAAGGACGTGATCGTGACTATTAACGACGAGGCAATTTTCAATTATAACTTATAGAACTTCGTTTGCACGAACTCCATTTATTTGATTCTGAACACCTCTCATTGCACGAGAAACCACCAATAGAGGGGAGAATTACTAGGCTCTTGTTACCTCTCAACTTCTACCGTGCAAATTTGAAGAAAGGAAACAAAAGAAAAAAATTACGATGAATTGAAAACGCGACGATAAAGTTAAGCAGCCGATGCTTATTGTAATCAATGAATGATTCACGCGTGTGTTAGACGCCCTCACTTTCGCCATATTCGACGATTCGGTGCTTGATTTTCACGCAGGTGCTTTCTTCTTTCATCCGGCTGAAGAACTCGCTGCGCCAGCGCGATTAAATAATCTAATCGCGAGAACGCGAGCCACGCACGCGTTCGTTGAAATCGTCGAATTAAACTCGATCGTCAGTGAGTCATTTTTGCCGATTTCGCGAGACTGTGGTCGATCGTTTCGATTGTCGAACGGCAAATCGATGATACATCGTCATTGCATAATAACGAACGATCGACGTATTTCCCGAAGGATATAGCACTGTTCACTTTTCGCCGCGTGCACGCGAATAAACGGAGAAATGGACGACAAGTGATGCAAAGATCGTTGGAACAGCGGGTTTTCCAGTAACGAGCAGCCTTGCAATCCTGGCGAGCGTCGAGCGCAGACTAGACGAGCCTTGACAAATGGATGTCAATTTCAATCGACGCTCGTGTAACTCTTAACGCGATCTAAGGAACGATCTATGCTCGTTCGAGCATGCGATCATACAGGGAACGCCGGTCTGTGATTGTTGCGATTCATATATAAGGACGCTGTGTCGCAATGGATGAATATTCGCCTTTCCGACAGAAATCGCTTTTCCCGACGCTGCTCGGCATTTCATTGCCGTTCCAGCTGTCTGAGGCATGCCGTAAACGTGGAAAAATTAATGGAAATGATATTCGAACGATATACGTATTATATACAGGATATCCGTTAACTGAGTAGACGATTCTATGTAGAAAAATGAGAGAAGAATAAAATTTTCATTAAATAATAATTGTCAGACGGCGGATCAACTACGTGGCCTGTGTCCATTCGGGGCTCTTATACGATTATGCTTTTCTACAAATTGTGTTATGAATGGTGATAGTAAATGATAGAGGAATAATGAAGGAATATAAATAATATTGGATAGTGATGAGTATCGAGGAATCGTACAGCGTTTAGAATAGAGCTGTTGGGGCTTCCTTTTTGAAGAAAATCAAGTTTGAAAATTTATCTAGCTAATTTAGGTAGTCAAGAATAATTATTTTATCTATGAAAACAAGTGAAAAGTGTAAACTTTAAATTTCCAAAATTGTCGAGCCACTTCTTAATTGAACACATTGAAAGTTCATTTCTTTTGAAAACAAAGCCCTCTGAGTGTTTAATGCTTACTGGAACATTGTACGGATAATTTTACAATCAATAATAACAAAAATAATTGGTTCAGAGAGGACAGCATATCACAGCATATATCGAATAAATACATCGAAAGATTTAAAGACGAATGCATTCTTAATTTGCTATATGGTATTATATCCTCGTTTGGTAATAAAGTCTTTTAGACTCTTGATAAGCACTCGCGAGGTTAAACGAGCGAAAATTTTCTTCATTCCTTTCGACTTATTTCTTCGTCCTCCGTCAAAAGACGTACTTCGATCAATCAATAATTGCAGCCTTTAAAAGTTAACAGTCGCAGTGAACCGACTAAAGTAGAAACAAAGTGGGTATGTAGCTCGAGGATAGAGGTGAATTGACGCGGGGCTCAACAATTTGCAACGAACGCGACGCATACGCTCGAGTTTCAGCACCGCTTTCCAGCGGCTCGACAGAAGATTATTACGGTACAATAGCATGTTAGATTTAAGGCTAGCTAGGATTAAACGACCGTTGATTCCACAGCACATTCTGCAGCACGTGAGCAATATAAAAGACCCATTGCTAGGACCGACTGCCGTACGTCTATTACGCATTCCCGATGCAACAGACGTCAGAAAATAGGAACGTGGTTGTTTAACATCGACAGCCAAACACGTTCGCGTGAATCGTGTTTCCCAACTGACGTGTAAACACGATCACATTTGGGAGGGCAGAATGATCTCGTTCACGTTGCCGATGGCGGCACTCTGCGGCCTTGCTACGACGGGACAACTTAATTATTTGAGTTTTAGGAAAGTCGTTAGCCGTGAACGTTTCAGCAAGTTCACGGTGAAACGCAAATTGGAACACCGGTTCGCGAGTTATTGTGAAATTCAGGTGGAAGAGGCGAGATTTCGCGAAATCTTGGCAAAGGCCGCGGAGGAGAATTTTTCTTCTACCTTAAGGTCGCTGCACAATTCGATAGTTCGAGCGACTGGAACTCGCGGCAGAAACGAGATTAGCGCCGAGCGGAAAAACGTGAGCGGCGCTCGTCGCCAGCAAAACCGATAAGCCACCGGTTTCACTCGATTACCAATCGGAGAAAAATCAATTTCGTCACGGTTCAATGCCCCATTTTTATTTTGACGAAAAAAAAAAAGAGAGAGAGAAATAACCCGCTTTCGTGCAATTCTCTGGTTCGGATAAATTTTTGAAATTACGTTGCCCGCCGGAGAACAGGGGGAGGAGGGGGAGAAGGGGGAGTAAAGTCGATAGAGCTTTCCCGAAACGAGATAGAACTCGCGAGGCGATCCCCACGAGATCGCGAGAGAGCTACAAAATGGATTTTCTATTCTTAATCGCGATTTTCACGCGAGATTGGTTTTCACTTGGACTCGATTTTAAAAATAGTTCGTTGCTTTCGGAGCGTAAGTCAAAGTTGTGAATTCAACGGCGGTGCTTACGAGTGGTGCGTGTGTGTTTATATTTTCCCCGTTAGAGCCGGAAATCAAACTTCTCTTTCATTGTCTAACTATCGACGGAACCGCGTCGCTTAACCGTTGCTAATTTCGCCTGTTGTAATCGCGTGATCGCGCCGATTCGATCCGTACGAAACGATAGGAATCCGGCGGGTCAAGCGTCATTTTCGAACGACACGCTCGTACGAGTTGATACTAATTATGTCGCGAGTATAATTTCATACCTGCAGCGAGCTTGTGAACGCGAGGCGGGCCACCGAAGCAATCAACTCGAGCACGTTTCGCGTGGGAACACACGGAATATGCTAGCATTAACATCCCGCGATCCTCGAGACAAAATGAAACAACCATCCAGCTCGCGATTATCCGTTGAATAATTCCTGTGATTCTCTGAATTGCGCCGGAGGTTTGTCGAAATTAACAGAACTAGTTCAAAAAATTGTTCGAATTGTTCGGGATTTAATTACGCCGCGCCGAGATGCACCGGATCGTCATTTCCTCTGTTACGTTTCAATACAACGGACGAAGGGTAGAAGGTGTGTTACAATTAGCAGCTACTTAGTTCATCGTAGCGTAACGTTATAATAATATTGTTATTCGTGTTGTTCAAATTTGTCGTTTGTTCGCAAAAGAGCGAAATACGTTCTAGCGTGGGGATTTATTTCTGTCAGTTCGTGTAGCAGCATTTTATCCCACGCATCTTTTCATCAAACATCAGGGATGCAAAGATCCCTTTGCGTTCCAAATAAAGAATCTTACATCTTAGGATATTAATGCTTTACATAAATTCACTTTGTTAAATAAAAAATAAAAATTCAACGGTATTTTATGTATAATTAATTTGTTTGAACGTAGTTAATTCTAATAAAGGTTGCAGTAAATGAAAAATTGTTACGATTGTTTTTTTCTCTTGTACGTACCTCCTGATTTATTAGTAATAAGCATAGCACAATGCAATCGCAATTCTCCCTTTAAAATCGTGAAACTTCTTGGTCTCATTTACTGGCTATTAAATCCTTTTTTAAAAAAAAAGATGACCAGTTTTTCAATAAAATTCAATATCAATGAATGAAACAGAGAGGACTTAGTTGTTTTTTTAACAGTTATTAGTTATCAAATTCACAAAGAACTGAATAGTACAATCGATTAATTGTAAGGACGACGAATTAATTTGTACACCTACTGTAAAATACGATCATGTTACGTGTATTTCAAGAGAAAAAAAGAGAAAATGACTCATTAACGTTGCAATTTTCTTTCGAAATGACACGGTTTTCCGCTGCTAGTTTACACGATGATCGTGATGATGCTTTGTGCACGTGCACGGAACGAGGGTGCAGAGAGGTAATAGGTCGTCCAGCATGCTAAATTGCAGAATTTATTAGTTATTATGAGGAGCATGCGTACGTATTTGCACGTATCGTTTATGAGACGATACACAAAGGGCGGGACATGGTCATTTAAATTGCGTGGCGAGCGCTGCTACTTGCTAGGCATTACGGAGCAAACTCGGCTAACTTTGTTAAAAACTCGCCTAAAAATGATCAATTTCAAGACTAACCGAATTCAAAAATTATGCAATAATGCCGTGTTTATGCAAATTCAAATTGTCGGCTGAGGAAATGGAACTTTAGAAACTTGTTTCATTCAATGTAATAACAAATATTTTACATTGGTTATTTTATAAATTTTTGTGTGCGTATTCTTGTATCTTTAAACTGTAGAAATTTTTACTGAAAAAAAATACAAGCGATTTACAAAAAATATAATATTTAATTTACATGATAAATACACACAGTTGCCTAAGGAAATCATTTGATTTTCTATTCCACGAATACTATGTTGGAATAGAAACAATGTAAACACTATTCTGGCAAGGATATTACTATTTACAAACTGTTTGTTATAAATAAGCATAGTAGTTAAACAACGTTAGTAACTTGTGAAAAAATATATTGCTTTAATCTTTTGATGATGGTAGGAAAAGTAATGATTAACAAGCAACAATTATTTAGTAACAATTGCATAATATAAAAATATGAAAGTACATAAATTCTGCTTGAAACATTTTTTTGTGAAAGAAGTTTAAAGAACGAGTAACTACGAGGTGTCGAAAATATCGAAAAAGAAATAGAAATCACTCTCACAGTAAGAAATAGTAAGAAATTTACAATTAGACTGCGGATGCTTGTGCATTTTTACATTTTTGTGAACATAACTAAATAGAAATTCGTTTCATTTGATAAATATTACAAAACACGCTTTATTCTTAATATTCCGTGTATTCTTCATTATTGTACACTCTGTGCACTTTTACGCCCTTAAATTTCCCCAAAAATGTATAAACATCCACAGTCTATTTATAATCGGCGAACGGAGGGAGTTCCTTTGTGGCAAATTGCTTCTGATTATAATACAGGATGAGACGTAGCAATCTGATAATTTTTGAAACGCAATAGAGTTCTAGTTTTCAATTCTTTAACAAGTCCTTTGTGTCGATACACGGGTATTATCACGTCATACTTTTTTTCCAACATTATCAAAGTGTCATCCTAGTGAGAATTGCAAACGATTGGGATATTTACTAAATGTTGAATAAAACAAATTGTAAAAAATTGTTAAGTATACGGGGGAAAAATTTATTTTGTTTAAAAGAGAGTCTGCTTCGAAGAATTTTCACTACACTTTGAATCGTTTCGATCGTTACAATTTCATCTGTTAATCGTTGTTTTAAATATTGATTATCAACGATGAAATATACGGTATTTTATCTCAGTATCGAACGTGTTCAATTCGGGACGA